GGATAAGGATAAGGATAAGGATAAGGATAAGGATAAGGATAAGGATAAGGATAAGGATAAGGATAAGGATAGAAGTTGGAAGGGACCTTGGAGGTCTTCTGGTCCAACCACCTGCTCAGGCAGGAAATCCTACACCACTTCAAACAAAAGGTTAGCCAATATCTTCTTTAAAACTTCCAATGTTGGAGCATTCACAACTTCTAGAGGCAAGTTGTTCCACTGATTAATTATTCTAACTGTCAGGAAATTTCTTAGTTCTAAGTTGCTTCTCTCCTTGATTAGTTTCCACCCATTGCTTCTTGTCCTGCCCTCATGTGCTTTGGAGAATCACTTAACTCCCTCTTCTTCATGGCAACCCCTGAGACATTGGAACACTATTATCATGTCTCCCCCTAGTCCTTCTTTTCATTAAACTAGATATACTCAGTTCCAGCAACTGGTTTTTTTTTTATGTTTTAGCCTCCAGTCTCCTTCTTCCTACTTTCTTAGGCACCCATTTCTCATAGGCCAGAAAGATTAATATGTAGGCTATGAGGGATTCTAAGCAGGTGACCAGGTGAGCAAACCACTCCAGCAGACATTTGTTAGGAGATGGAGCCTCACCATCCCACTGCACAACTGATGAATGCACCAATATTCTTGGACTGGAATTAGGTGTGACAGGGAAGCTGTACCCCAGAAGCTCCTCCCACCTTCTTTGTCACATGCTAAAGTTATTCTGCCCTTGGGTTAAGGTCATAGGGCAACCTTACCCGGTCTTTGCTTCCGGTAGCAAGGTAGTTGCCGTCAAGGCTGAAGGAACAACAGGTCACCCCAGAAGTGTGACCACGGAGGATGGAGAGTGGTGAGATGCCGGCTTGCAAGGCAGGTCCTGGTCTCAGGGTCTCTGAAAGCCACAGCCCAACGGTGAAATCATCTGGAAAAAAGAAATATATAGATGAAAGTAAAAGTGAAGACAAGTCAATAGATTTGTAACTGTTGTGGCACACAAGCGGCCAGTGTAGCTGGAAGTAGATTCGGACAGTGAGGAAGTTGGGGAGGGACATTGGTCAGTCCTGGAGTCTGGGGAAGGCTCTGAAAGTGCTCTGCATTGGAGGCAGAGAGTGGGCCAGAGCCATTTGCAGGATATCAGCTGCCTTCAGAGTCAGACATCAGTGAGGCAGATGAACAGCTGGAGCCTGTTCCCAGTGTGCGCATGCGCAGAATTGCCAGATGAAGAGAACAGCTAAAGAACAGGGGCCGACTTGGGAGTAGAGCCACAGTTGGACAATGAATGGCCCCTCCCAGAGGAAATAAAAGAGGAACGAAAGGTGGAGTGGAGTTTGCAGGAGATAATTAGTTCGCTTAATTGGTTTGGAGTGGAGTTTGCAGGAGATAATTAGTTCGCTTAATTGGTTTGTGATTCTCTGGAATTCCTTGCCGAGTTTTGCAGATATCGGCTGTCAGCTCTCCAAGCCAGATAAGGTCTGGGACTGTAAATCCTTCCTTGAAAGACTTTGCTGGACGTGAATGAGCAGAATTCACAGCAAATTAATAAAAGGGGTTTTTGTCAGGACAAGGAGTTTGTTTCATGTTCTTGGGAAGCCTCGGTCAGAACAGTAACTTAGAAGTTAGGGCAATATATTTCTTTTGGTGGTTTCACAGAACATGTGAATTCTTTCAACATCTCCTTCTTCTAACCTCACAATCACCTGGATATTGATACTTTAAACTCAAATATAAACCCCATTCTCCTCCCTCCCCAGGTGGTATTGTTCTTACAAGCGCTGCCTCTTTTATTGCAAAACTGGGTTGCAAAAACTAAACAAAAAAAAGTGGGAGGGTGACTTAGTAATTAAACACAAGCATTCTGAACACACCCAGAGACACCTTTCGCAAATATTTCATTCCAGATTGCATAATTCATCTCTGCTCCTGAAAAGAGTCTGGCTCGAATTAGAAGGATCGAGAAAACCAATTGACTGCCAGGACTTTAAGATCCAAGCTGAGATGTTAAGAGTAATCCAGTTGCCATTGAAATAAAAAAATAAACCCGCTTGTACACAACACACCCTCCCACATAATTCTAACTATACACATCTCCACCAAAACCTATAGAAAGTAGGGTTTGTGTTACCTTCAGTGAGGTTCTTCCTTCCTCATGTTATCACAAATTTGTAAGTAAATGAGACAAATATCTCTATTCACCAAAAAAAGAAAAGTGAGGCCTCCTTGAAGTTAAGTTAAATTCCTAAGTGATTTGATGGAATTTTTCTTGGAACATAGAAGTGTCTGTAGAGATTCTCAGTCATCCAGGTCATGGTTGTCCCAAAGGGGCTTTTATGAGGAGGCAACTGAACGTTCTTGTTTTTCTTTTGAAGACGTTTCGCTTCTCATCTAAGAAGCTTCTTCAGCTCTGACAGGATAGAGGGGCATGGAAGGATTTATAATCCTTGCAGACAGCTGGTCATTTGCATCCTTTTAGAGGATCCTTGAAGCACTTGGAGATTTATCTCTGTCCATAGGGTCACCTGAGAAGTTGCCCCTAATTCCTGTAGTCTGCAATTTTTTTTCCCCTCTGGAAATCCATTATTCCTACTCCCACACCATTCTAAGGGTGTTCATCCCAAATTGCATAGCTTAAAAGTCTGTAGAGATTCTCAGTCATCCAGGTCATGGTTGTCTCAAAGATGCTTTTTCAGGAGGCAACTGGACTTTCTTCTTTTTCTT